AGAGCCGCCGCCCCCGCCCCAGCTCCCAGTATAACCAGAAGCTCTTCGGGGGAGACATGGAGAAGTTTATCCAGGTACTGGCTCCAGCTCACGCTCCAGCCACGTGCAGGCCCTGCCCTGCCTTTTGGCTTCCCTCCGGCCCATGACCCCAGTGGCCTCCATTGTCGACTAGTGGTCGACCGACCCCTCCTGCACGGGCCTCTGTCAGGCCTGACCCGACTGCAAGGAACGTCCTTCACTTAGCACCAGGCGTCTACTGAGGGGCACCCGTGGGGCCCAGTGGGTGAAGCGCTGCCTTCGGCTCGGGTCACGGTCTCGGGGTCCTAGGATCGGGGCCCACATCGGGCTCCCTGCTCGGCGGGGAGTCTGCTTCCCCCTCTCCTGGCTTCCCGCTCGCGCGTGCGCACTCTCCCCCTCTCTCTCTTTCACAAATAAGTAAATAAAACACTTAAAAACAAATTAAAAAAAAAAAAACAACCCAGGCCTCGACAGAAAGCCTCAGGCAGGAGCGCGTGAGGAGGAAGCCCAGGAGGGAGGAGGAAGGAGCTCGTGAGGAGGAAGCTCTGGCTGGCGCGCCCCTGGGCGTCCTAGGCGGTGAAGCGAGGGAAGGGAGAAGGGTCTGAAAAGAAGAAACAGCGGGAGCATTTTTGCGATGTGCTCACGCGCTGCGGGTGGTTCATTTAAGAGTTTGGCAATGTCTGTGGACTCGAGGTTGGTTGGGGCGAGTCTCACAAACCACGTGGCAGGCCGCATTGCCATCGTGGCTTGTTTAGAGAAGATACAAGGGAGCCAGTGACAAGGAGGGACCGTGAAGTGAGCCCCCTCTCTGTCCCCAGAGCTCAGGCCAGCCCGTGCCCCTGGTGGTAGAGAGCTGTGTCCGCTTCATCAACCTGAATGGTAAGCAAGACCCGGGCCTCCCTGCTGCCCGCCCAGCACCCGACCCCCCAGGCGCTGGGGAGGGGACCCAGAGGGCACCCACCGGCTCTCCTCCTCCCCCAGGGCTGCAGCACGAGGGCATCTTCCGGGTGTCAGGTGCCCAGCCCCGGGTCTCAGAGATCCGTGACGCTTTCGAGAGAGGTAGGGGACCGGCTGGACGGGGTAGGGGCGGGCAGAGGGGTGACAGCCGGAGCTGGTGCGATCGGCCTCCTATGCCCTGCGTCACCCCCAGGGGAGGACCCACTGGTGGAAGGCTGCACACCCCACGACCTGGACGCAGTGGCAGGGGTCTTGAAGCTCTACTTCCGGAGCCTGGACCCCCCACTCTTCCCTCCGGACCTGTTCGGAGAGCTGCTGGCCTCAGCAGGTGAGGCCCGGGCGTGAGGCATCCTGGCGGTGGAGGGGGGCACTGCCCTGTGGCCAGGGCCTCACTCCCGCGCTTCTCTCCCCCGGGGGCGGCCTGGGCCACAGAGCTGGAGGCTGTGGCTGAGCGGGTGGAGCACGTGGGCCGCCTCCTGACCCAGCTGCCTGCGCCAGCGCTGGTCGTTCTGCGCTACCTCTTCACCTTCCTCAACCAGTGAGTGTGCTCTGGGGGACCAGGAGGACTGTGGGGGGCGCGGGGCACAGCCGGCGGGGTGCTCACTGCCTGTGACCCACATGTGCCCCCAGCCTGGCGCAGTACAGCGACGAGAACATGATGGACCCCTACAACCTGGCCGTGTGCTTCGGGCCGACGCTGCTGCCCGTGCCCGCCGGGCAGGACCCAGTAGCCTTGCAGGGTCGCGTGAACCAGCTGGTGCAGACCCTCATCGTGCAGCCATCGCGGGTTTTCCCGCCTGTGGCCGTGCTGCCGGGCCCGACCTATGAGAAGTGCATGGCCCCGCCCTCCTCCAGCTGTCTGGGGTATGCTCTCTGTGTGCGGGGCCTGGGGGGGCCGTGCAGCAGAGGGGAGCCCCCTCATCCACGCAGATGCCTCGCTCTGACCTCAGGGATGCCCAGCTGGAGGGCTTGGCTGGGGAGAACGAGCCGGAGCTGGAAGCCGGCACCACGGCCCAGGAGGATGGTGAGGAGCGGGGAGGAGGAGGTGCCGATTCCTGACCGCCCTGGGTGTGCCCTTCGCCTCCCAGCTTCAACCCCCTTTTCTCCGCAGACCTGGAGGGGGTCGTGGAGGCCGTGGCCTGTTTTGCCTACACGGGCCGCACAGCCCAGGAGCTAAGCTTTCAGCGCGGGGACGTGCTGCGGCTGCACGAGCGGGCCTCGGGCGACTGGTGGCGGGGCGAGTGTGCGGGCACCCGGGGACTCATCCCACACAAGTACATCACGCTGCCCGGGAGGTGAGTGAGTCCCAGCTTCCCTAGGCTTGGGGCAGCCCAGACCACTTCGGGCCAGCCCTGAGAGCCCGCCGGCCCCCAGAGCCTGCCCCAGGAATGAGCACTTTTTGCGGGTGGTCTCTCTGACCCTAGTGCAGAGAAGCACACGGTGGCCCAGGGGCCGCAGGCTGCGGGGGAGCTGGTGAGCAGTCCAGAGGTCCTCCTGGCCATGGAGTTCGTCCATCGGTGAGCGAGGGAAGGATGGTTCCTCGGGAAGACTCATTTTGGTGGCCCTACTCACCCACCTCAGCCTGAGCACTGCCGCTGGGTAGCCAACCTTGTGCCAGGCAAAGGTGTGGGGTCGAGTCAGAAGGGGCTGGGGTCTGGCTTAGGCCACGTGGAGAGGGTCTCGGCTGGGGGACAGTTGTCCGTGAGGGACACCAAAGGACAGAATGGACCCGCTGGGCCAGCCTCGCTGTTCCTCCTCCCTTGGCCATGCCCTGTCTGTACCCTGCAGGCCAGAGCCATGCACCCCGCCCGAGGCCCCACTGGGCACCTCCGGGGGCCCCTCTGGGCATAGAAGGCACTGTTTGGTCCCTACCTCCCCGGAGCGATATGTGGAGGTAGACAAGGTGAGAGCCAGGAGTGGGTGTGTGGCAGATAGTGGGGGTGGGGGGGTACCTCTCCTGGGGGGGTCTTTACCTCCCCCTTAGGAACCAAACTCTTTCTTCCCGAGGTTCAAGTCTGCCCTTCCTGGCCTCAGACCAGCTGGCGGGGCCCAGCCCGGGGAGGGACAGGCCGGCAGGGGTGTGAGCCCAGAGGGAAGGATGATCCCCAAAGCAGAGTGGAGGGGGACCTGGGGGCTCATTCGGTTCTTGAGCAGGAAATGGCAAGCGGGAGTCCCAGGCAGGCATGGCATCTGGAGCCAGGGTAGGTGACCAGTAGTGGCCTAGCAGGCACTTGGTGGCTAAGGAGGACAGAAGGGACAGATGGAGGAGAGGGACAGATGGAGCGGGTAGCTGGCGAGGGAGAGAATGGGTGCTGGATATGGCCCCAGCTGGGGGGCAGCCTGGGGAGACCCAGCTCCCTGCTTTCATGGGCCTAGCACGTGTGCTTCCGGGCTCCCAGTGAGCAGAAGCCCTTGGGATAGCAGGGACTGGAGGAAAGAGCCCAAGAGCATGAGGCGCGCTAGCTGTGGCCCAGTGGCCCGGCCTAGGAGTCAGGGGACCAGGGGCTGACCTAGGCCACACGGACTCTCATGCCACGGAAGCAGGAGTCTGGTGGTAGGTGGGGGAGGGGAGGAGGAGGGGAGGCAGGCGGCAGGCAGGGCCGGGTGGGTTGCAGGGGGACACTCACCTGAGAGGCTCCAGCACGCTGGTGGTCCCTGGGGCCAAGGTGTGGCTGTGATCCCAGCCATGGTGAGAGTAGGTATGAGAAGGGGGGGGATGTATTGCTGTCCCCAGAGGAGGCTGTGACAGTAACACCAAGAGTGACAGGAGGGAAACCGGACAGGGAAGGAGGGGCAGCTGCTTTGGGGCCAACGGAGAGGAGGGGTGTGGTGACAGGAAGGTGGCCAAGGGCTTTGTTTTCGGAATGAGAAAGAGTTCGAGTGGACACTTGGGCGGCAGAGGGAAGAAGGTCCCCCTCTCCTGGCTCAGGGGGCGAGCCCCTGACCGGGGATGGGAGAAAGAGCTGGCTAGTTGGGGGAGGCTCTCACCAGATGCCCTCCCTCTCTCTTCTCCCCTTTAGGCCGTGGCCCAGACCATGGACTCCGTGTTTAAGGAGCTCTTGGGAAAGACCTCCGCCCGCCAAGGGCTTGGGCCGGCGTCCACCTGCTCCCCTGGCCCCGGGCCCTGCAGCCTGAAGCCTCCAGCCTGTGGCCGCCTCAGCAGGAACAAAGGCCTCTCCTGGGGCTCCGGGGTCCTGGCATCACCCTCGGCATCCCATCCCCAGAGCCCGGACTCGCCCCTTAAGCACTGAGGTGCTGCCAGCTTCTCCCCGGCCCCGTGCAGCTGGCGCTGGGGCTCCTGCCCTCGGCCCTCCGGCCCTTCGCAGAGGAGGGTCCATCTGCCCAGAGGCAGCCCCGCCTGCTCCAGCCCCGGCCTGGGCCCCTAGGGAGGCCAAGAAGGGAGGAGGCTGGGGCGGGCCCCTCTGTGGCTGTTCGGTGAGGGCTTGTCCGCGAGCTGGGTGGTGGGCGCCGGGGCCTGCGTCTGCCTCGCTGAGAGTGCGGTGCCGGTGGGAGCTGGCATGCGGCGGCTGCCGTTCATAAAGGCCTGTGCGCTGACTCCCCACGCGAGCCGGTTCTCTGTCTCGGCGCCAGGGTGGGAGCTGGGCGGCCAGCAGCAGGCAGCGGGCGCTCAGCAAAGGCAGCAGCTTGGGCAGCTACAGCAGCTTCCACCGGGGGTCTCTCAGCACAGACTTGTCCAGGCCAGGGCACGGCATCGTGGGGTGACCCGCACACCAGGTCCGGTGTCTGGTGGGGGGAGTCTTTCCACGCTGCCTCACAGCCAACGTTACTCTGATCCAAGGAGAGTCACCGGTTCGAAAAGAGCTGGAACATTTATTGGGGAGCAAGTGAGAGGGGAGGGCTGAGGGGAGCTAGAGAGGCTAGGAAGAGGGGAGCGGTGGGGGGAGAGGAAGGTCCTCCGGCCCCGCCCCCTTTCCTTCCCGGGGGTGGGGGGGCCCTGGGACCTCCATCCCAGGGGCGGTCCCCTGCCGGGCGGGCCCCCCCCCCCCCCCCCCCGCTGCTGCCCCACACTTGGCATTCCCAGGGCCAACCTCAGGTGGGCAGCGGGGTTTCACAGAGCCTCTAGAAGGAAGGCGCCCCCTGACTTCTCAGGAGGAAGTGTCCTTGGCCAGGAAGGAGCTGGCAGTGGCACAGGACTCCTCCTGGGGCCCTGGGCTGGGTGGGGCCCTACTCCGGGCCCCGCAGAGCAGGCTCCGCAGCTCCGAGGAGACGCTGCTGCTGAAGAAGGCGTAGATCCAGGGGTTGGTGCAGCTGTTCAGGCTGGCCAACAACATCAGCAGCACGAAGGGGGCCTCTGTGGGGGGTGGGAGAGTCCAGGCTGGGACTGAGGGTGCCCGAGCGGAGGTGTGGCGACCCCGCCTGCTCACGGGGGAAGAGCGATCCGCGTGAGCCCACGGGTGCTTCCGAGCCCAAGGCCCGCCGTGTCCGTGGGGGCCCAGGTGCCTCTGCGGCCGGGCCTGAGCCGTTCCCCACAGTCCTAGCCGTGGCCACACCCACCTTCCACGGGCGCCTGCGGGTCCCACGCTGCCCACAGCTGCACGAGGAAGAAAGGCGCCCAGCACAGCACGTACACGATCACAATCACCAGCGTCATCCGCACGGTCTTGGCCATGGCTGCTGACACCCGGGCCCCCTCGCTGGGACTGCCTGTCCGGTGCCCTCCCCGGCAAACCCCAGCCCTCTCTGCTGGCCCCAGCAGCAGGCTCGCATGGATCTCCCGGAAGATGAGCACCTGGCAGGCAGCGATGCCCAGGGCCGGGGCCACGAACACCATCAGAGCGATCCAGGTGACATAGGCTCGGAGGCCCCAGGGCTCCACAAAGTGGGCCCAGCAGTCATGGACCCCGCTGCCGTTACCCACGTCACGCTGGGCAAAGATGAAAAGCTGGGGCAGGCTGAGAATGAGCGAGAAGGCCCAGGCCACCAGCACCGGCCGGTTCCAGTGAGTCCCACCTCCATGGCGGTAGGCCAACATGGGGCGGCAGATGGCACGGTGGCGGTCCAGCGTCATGGCCAGGATCATGTAGGACGAGGCATACATGCCCACCATCTGCAGGTACTTGACGGCCCGGCACAGGGCGTCTGGCCCACGGAAGCGGTCCGTGGCATCCCATACCAGCTGGGGCAGTACTTGGAACAGAGCCACGGCCAGGTCGGCCAGGCACAAGTGGCCGATGAAGACATGCATGGGTGCCCAGCGACCCCGCCGGCCCCGGCGTGCTAGGACCCCCAGCACCAAGCCGTTGCTCAGGGCCACAGCCACGAAGACCGTGGAGAGCAGGGCAAGCTCTGCCTGGGCGAGCAGCAGGTTCCGCGTGTCCAGCAGCCCCTCGCTGCCGTTGCCAGGTGGAACAGGGGCAGAGAGCGTCCAGGGCACAGCTGGGCAAGGGGTGGAGGAAGAGGGCCGAATTAGGGGGTGTGCTGCACGGGGAGCCCTGGGCCCAAGGACATTCCAGCTGGTCAGGCAGAGCCAGGGGCTCGAGCGGCCATCAGCCTGGGCCTTCTGCTTCCCTCCAGCCTCCCACTTCCGGACTCCCAGCAGATGCCATTCCCGCCTCATGTGGTAGGGAGGGAGAGGCAGCCCCAGCCCCCAGGGAGCCTAGAGAGGAGGGGGCAGGGGGTCCTAGAAAGAGGGGCTCCTCTGCTTCATCCAACCCCACTCAGCCTGCCTGGCTCATGCAGATGGAGGGGTGGGTGGGTGGATGGGTGGGGGCCCAGGGGCAGGAACCTTACCAGAGGCGGTGGACGCCGTGGGCATGATGGGGCCAGGGCAGGTGTCTCTATCGCCTGGAGGAAACATGGTATTGAGCTCAGCCTCCCATCAGAGGGGTCAGCTGCGTTCTGTGTCTAGACAGGGGCCCCGAGAAGGGTCAGGTGACAGGGTACCTGTGTACGTGTGTGTGCGCGTGTTCCAGCAGTGGGGACGTGGGGCTACAGCCCTAGTCAGATCCAGGTTGGTGACGTCTGGCCACACTGAGTCAGCCACAGACTCCCGGGCCCACTGTGCTCCCCCCCATACCAAGCCGGCTAAGACAGATGGACGAACGCATCCCAGGACCCACCTCCCAGGACTCACCCGGGCAGCCCGCAGGATCTGAGGCAGCCGGACAGACACCCCTTCCCCCCACACACCCTGAGGGAGTCCGGGAGAGGCGGCCATGGGAGGGCAGGGGCTGGACGGGAGAAGCCAGCTTGTCCCTGGGACCCCTCGAAGCCCCTTACCTGGCTGGGCTCTCTGGGCTCCGGGCAGCTGGGCAGTGGCCGGCGCGAAGGTGGCCCAGGAGCTCAGATCTGCTCTCCATCTCCTGCCCCGCCCCAGCCCGGCCTCTGGGAGTGACCTGCCCAGGAGGGGACTTCCTCTCCCTCCCCTCCCCCACGTGCCTCTCCTGGCCTCCTGCCTGTGGCACGGGGAAGTAGGCTCCTGGCCTCCTGTGCTGCCCTTCCTGTCCCGGCCCTCCCAGGTCTGTCCACGGGACTCCTTTCCCCCCACTCCTGAGGGCCTGAGCCCTCCTAGGTGGGTCCCCAGCTTGGTCTGGGTGTGACCATCAAGCGGGCTCTACCCCTCCCCCCGACCCGGGCCTCCGCCTGCGCCCACAGGGCCCACCTCCCTCGGAAGATCAGGTCCAGCAGGACTCTGGGAGATCAGTTAGCTCAGTGGCTCCATTTTATAAGTGGGGAAACTGAGGTCAGAGATGGGTGGGGCTGACTGAAGGGCACCCCGCTTTTTCATGGCACAGCTTGACTCCTTTCTCACGCCAGGTTCTCTCTGTCCCTCTTGGGCCCCGGCACGGAAGGGGTGAGAGCTCAGGAGTGTGGGCTCCTCCTGGGCCTACGACGTACCCGCCCGTCCTCAATTAGGGCCTCCGGAGATGATGGACAGGAAGGGAGGGGGTGGGGCGGGTTCAAGCCTGGGCTTCTGCGCCCCAAGCGAGCCAGCTTCCTCCCCACCCTCTTCCTCCTCCCCCACCTGCAGCTACCTGTCCTAGGGGGAGGGGGCAGCTTCAGATCTCTGTCTCTCTGTCTCTGTCTGTGCCTGCCTCTCTCACACACACATACACATGCACGCAACAGCCTCTGAGGCTGGGGCTTCCCTTCCAGGCGCTGGGCTCTTGCTCCTTCCTCTCCTCAGCGCCCGGCACCCCCAGCCCCTCCAGTCCATCCTTTCTGCCCTGTCCCAGGAGCCCTCTTTCCAGTCCTTTCCTGCTCTTGCTACAAATCCCGGCCCTCCTCAGCCGAGGTCCACACAGCCCAGCCCAAGGCAGCGGCCTGCACGTCTCCTAGGGCCAGGCTCCAGGCCCAGCTGGCTCTGTTTTCCTGTTTGTCCGTCTTCTCTGATGACCTGCAAGGCTAAAGGCCAAAATGGCTTCACACTGACCAGGCACAAATATAGCCCCGACTAAGGCCTCCCTTTCCTGGCCAGAGAGCCTGGTGGGGGTGGGGGGTGGGGAGGGCTGGACCCTATGGGCACAGGTTGCAGAATGCTGACACCCTATGTCGGACCCCTTCAGCCCCACCCCCTAAGAACAAGAACATTCTCACTTTCTTCCCTGCAACCGCACTGCCGTTATTAACCCAGAAGCCTACAAACAACTTTTCTACTGCTGTCCAGATCGACAAAAATGATAGAAAGCGGGAGTTCTGGGCAGGATGCTAGAACAGATTTTTCACAGGAGAGCTATGAGCCAATGGTAAAAAGTCACATCACACCCAGCATCCTCTGTCATGCCCATCTGCCCTGTGCCGGGGCCTCGCCTCGCAGGTGGGATGGGACCTCCCTCATCTGCACAGGAGACCCAGATGCCTTGCCCTCTAGGGCTGTGCGCCCTTGTGCACACTCTGTGCAGCAATTCGGGCCTCAGCTTCTGTCTCTGTAAAATGGGAAGCCAACCCCTGAAGGCTGACGATGGTGACAGGAGGGGCAAAGACCCGAAGCCCATGGAAGGGTCTACCTTCTCTGCCCACAGGGCCTAGCAGGCCGCCCTCCCTCCAGCCGAACCCTGAGGCCACTTTCCTCGCCCTCTCTGCTCCCTGTGCTCCATGTTTCCTGTCGTTGAACCCGGGGTAAAGATCTTGGGGAAGTCCTCTCCTCTCCCCAGTGGTTCTCTCCTGGCTCCAAGAGGCAACGGGTATGTGTCCACATCCAGACCAGATGTTAAAGGGAGACGGCACACGGCTTGCCCCTGCTAGCCAGAACACATGCTGGGGAACTTCAGGAGGAACTGAGAAGCCACCAAAGCCCGAGGGCATGCCAGAGAGAGTCTGGATCCTTCGCCGAGAGCTCCTAAGGCTGGGGAGCTCGTGGCACAGGTGCAGGTGCCACATGGGCACTGGGCTGGCGGAGACACTGGACCAGGCTGGCTGAGTGCCCCCTCCTGCAGCCAGGGGCTGATCAGAGGCGACAGGCCCCAGGCAGGCCCCTGCCCCAGCGCCGCCCCCCTCATGGACTGAGAGCAGGACACTGACCTGGGGGCCACTTGTCCCTGAGACAGGAAGGCAGGCAGGGACTATGGAGGGGAGACAGGAGGGATCCCTGAGAGGTGTTTGGGGGGTGGCACTCACCCTGGGGAGCATTGAGAAGCTGGTTGTGAAAGGATGGAGAAGGGCTTGATCACGGGGCGGGCCAGTTGGCCTCAGTGGGACTGAGCAGACACCCCCTCCCCCCACCATGCCTCCAGGATTCCATTTGCAGAAAGGACTCTTTGGGTAGCCAAGGTGTGAGCCTGTGTGTCCCCCAGCCCAGTGTCTGAGTAGGAGAGGACAGAAGGCCTCAGGCTGGGGCACTGGGCCTCCCAGTCGCCAGCCACCAGGGCAGGGGACCAGAGCTGGCAGAACACTTTGCTCGACAAACGGCCCGTGCTGAGGGCCCTGTGGCCTGTGTGCAGAGGTGGAAGGACCCGGGCCCTGCCCCAAGGACTGCAGGGTCATGTGCCGCTCCAGCTGAGAGGGCTGGATGCGGGGCAGCCACCACCCAGGGGAGAAATGGTGGGACCCTGTTAGCACGTTAATGGATCAGAGACGAAAGACATTTCTCAGGCCCTGAATAAACCCTTGAAGGAGCTTTCAGGGATGAGAGAGGAAGAGGAGGCAGCGCAGCCCATCGAGAAGGAGCGATGGAGCCAGGAGAGTGTCTGCCCAGGAGGCCAGGAGGAGAGATGGGCACAGCCTCATTGCAGACGGCCAGCCTGGCACAGCAGCCCAAGCGTGCACTCACACCAGCTGGACTGACGGGCGAGGAGCGGGCTCGGGGGAGCCCGACGGCAACCAGGCACCTCCTCCGAGAGCCTCCAATGGCACGAGAGAGCCCTGGGGCAGACGTTGGGACCCAATGGGGCAAAAACGCATTTAATAAAAACACGTGGGACATGCATGGCTCAAGGGTAAGAGCAAGACACGGTGTCCACTCACCTGAGGTCCAAATTCAAGGGAACAGTAGTTTTCAAAGTTAGACAAAGCCTGCTTGCCCGTTTCGGGAGGAAGGAGAGTGGTGCTTGGATTAGGAGCCCCAAAGGCGGGGAGGGGCAGGGTCCCCAGCAGGCAGGCGCTGGGAGCACCCCTCTTCTGGGCTGACGACCTGGGAGGGGGCAGAGGGCAGCTGGAGCTTGGCAACCATGACCTTTCTATTGTTATAAATTTGTCCAGGCGATGAGCTTTTGCTCCTTCCTCTGTAGAGTATGTAGTATCTCACGCCTGGGCCCATCTGTTGTATGTGTTAGGACTTTGCTCCTCTTTTGTGCCAAGTGGGGCTCTGCTGGCTGGGCCGCAGAGGATCGGCTCCACTGCTGGGCGGTGAACACGGGCTATTGCCAGTTTGGAGCTGTCACGTACAGCGCACAGGACCCCGTTCCTCCGGGGGACGCCCTCGGCGCTGAGAACCTGCAGGCCTCCTGCTCCGCCTCTGTGCGGGCCGTTGCCTCTGTAGTCTGAACTGTTCAACAAGATTTTACTGGGGTCTTATCTGGCATTTTCCTTGTGATGGATGATGGTCAGAACCTTCTCACGTATTTATTTGTCACTTTCTTAAATTAAAAAAAAATTTTTTTTAATTTGACAGAGAGAGATATCCCAAGTAGGCAGAGAGGCAGGCAGAGAGAGAGGGGGAAGCAGGCTCCCTGCTGAGCAGAGAGCCCGAGAGCCCGATGCAGGGCTCGATGCAGGGCTCGATGCAGGGCTCGATCCCAGGACCCTGGGATCATGATCTGAGCCAAAGGCAGAGGCTTAACCCACTGAGCCACCCAGGCGCCCCTAGTTGTCACTTTCATAACATTCTTTTTGTCAAATCTTTTGTCAACTTTTAAAAGTTTTCCCCATTACTGATTTGTGAGAGTTTTTTTTACTTTTAATATATTTTGGATACTTCTTTGAAAGCTGTGTGTCGCGAATATTTTCCCCAGCATGTGGCTTGCGTTTTCATTGTGTTAGTGGTCTCTTTTGTCATTTTTACCCCCAACGTGGGGCTCGAACTCACCAGCCTGAGATCCAGAGTCACGTGTTCTGCCAACCAGGCACCCGTAACAATCCCTGTTAAAAAGCAAACTTTTGGGGCTCCTGGCAGTGTAGTAGAGTATATGACTCTTGATCTTAGGATTGTCAGTTTAAGCCTCACACTGGATGTACAGATTACATGAAAAACATTAAAAAATAAAATTTGGGGGGGCGCCTGGGTGGCTCAGTGGATTAAGCATCTGCCTTCGACTCAGGTCATGATCCCGGGGTCCTGGGATCGAGCCCCGCATCGAGCTCCCTGCTCAGCGGGGAGCCTGCTTCTCCCTCTCCCACTGCCCCTGCTTGTGTTCCCTCTCTCGCTGTGTCTCTCCCTGTCAAATAAATAAAATCTTTAAAAAAGAGATATTCTCCTATGATTTATTCTGCAAGGTTTATATTTCTAGCTCTAACATTTAGGCCTGTGATTAATTTCAACTTAAAATTTTTTAAAGATTTTATTTATTTATTTATTTATTTGAGAGACAGAGCGAGAGAACACAAGCAAGGAGATAATCAGAGGGAGGGGGAGAAGCACACTCCCCACTGAGCAGGGAGCCTGACTCGGGCCTCGATCTCAGGACCCTGGGATCATGACCCAAGCCGAAGGCAGACATTTAACTGACTGAGCCCCAAGAGGTACCCCAACCTCAAGTTAAATTTTGTGTGTGTTATAGGTTAAAAGTTTAGGTTCATTCTTTTGCATGTGAATATCCAGTTGTCCCCACACCGTGTAGTCAAACAACTGTCCTTTCCTCACTGAATTACTTTGGCAACTTTGCCACAAATGGGTCACATGTGCAGGTCTGTTTCTGGACTCTGACTTCCGTTCCGTTGTTCTGTACACCTGTCCTTATACCAGTGTTACACTGTCTCGATTACTATAGATTTATAGTAAGTCTGAAATGAGATAGTATAACTTCTTCAACTTTGTTCTTTCTCAAAATCATTTTGGTTAGTCTAGGTAATCTGCATTTTCACGTAAAACTTAAAATCAGCTTGTTAGTTTCTATCAAAGGAAAAGAAATCCTGCCAGGATTTTAAAGATTTCTATTTATTTTAGAGAGGGAGAGAGAAAGAGAGTTCGAGTGCAAGGGAGGGACAGGAGGGAGGGAGAAGGAGAGGATCTTGAGCAGACTCCGAGCTGAGCGTAAAGCCCGACATGGGGCTTGGTCTCACAACCCTGAGATCATGACCCGAGCCAGGATCAAGAGTCTGATGCTTAACCCACTGAGCCGCCCACGCACCCCTCCTGCCAGCACTTTAATTGCCCTTACATTTGAATCTAGAGACATGGATCTGAATCTGTCTAGAGATAGATCTTAGTCATGAGGGGTCCTTCAACCCTCGAATACGGTATTCCGCTCCATTTGTTTACGTTCCCTTAATTTCTCTTAGCAGCATTTTACGATTTTTGGCTTACAGGGTTTCCATATGTTATTAAGTTATCTG